TCTGCAGAAGAAGAAGAGGAAGAGTTTGGATTTGATATCCCGCTTTATCACTACCTGAAAGAGTCTCAAAGCGGCTAACATTCTCCTTTCCCTTCCTCCCCCACAACAAACACTCTGTGAGGTGAGTGGGTCTGAGAGAAGTGTGACTAGCCCAAGGTCACCCAGCAGCTGCAGAAGACTAGGAACTGTTTGCACTAGGTGTGAGGAGAGTTGAGGACATCTCTAAAAATGTGGCATATGTCTTCTTCCCCCATTGGGTACATTAACTTCCAAGAGGCTCTCCTCCTGGGAAGAGGAACGGATTGCCCTCGCCTTGTTGTCGACTTCAGCTGTTTGATTAGGAATGCGAATTACCTGGAATCGCCAGAGATTATTACATCGGACAAGCTCTTAGGAGTATTGATCAGAGTTGACTCTAGTGACTAGGCAGTGCAAGGGCACAGCTGCCAGAGTGGCAGCACGAGGCAACAGCTGCGGACAGGCAGGAGAAGCCAGGAAGTACTCAACTGTAGCTTCTCTAAACCGTTTTGGACGTGTCATTTATCTTCTTCAGAGAGGACACGGAAGGACGACAAGGCCCACAAGGAAACGAGGAAGACGCAACGTGTGGAATTGTGGAGTTGGAACGGACCCTGAGGGTCATTCAAGCCAACATTTCCATTGAGCTATTCCTGCCACCCCTGCACCCCAAATTTGTGGCTGTTCCAGAGGTTGAGAGGGCAGGTTCTGTTCATGAGCGAGGAGCCGCTTTGAGCCAGATTATCTGGTTTCACAACCGTGTCATAATTGGTCTTCACAACCTTAAAGTACTACCGGGGCAGGGTCATCTTTGAGGGACCGAAAAGCTTCAGTCTGGGCAACTTGTTGCTGATGAGGTGGCCCATTTTCCCTTCTGAGCCATTCAACAACAAGCCTTCAGCTGGTCCTCACCTGGACAGAGGAGGAATGGCGGAGACCGCCTCCCCAGCCTGACCCTTCCAAAGAAGAGGAAAACAGTTTAGATTTACAACAGGCATTTGAGGGAAGTCGCAGCTCAGAGGCAGATGAGGGGGAAAGTTGGGAAATAATTGGGGGGGGGGAAGAGGAAGCAGCAGGGGGACGACAGCTGACGGACACAGTGCCTTTAGAAAGCATTTCAGGCCCTCCATCTCCCGGAACCCGGCGAGCCTTGAAAGTAGGAGAGCAAAGAGCTCAAAGACAGAGGGCAGGTAGCAGCACCCGTAGGAGAGACAATGAGAATGAGGAATGAGGAAGTGGGAGAGACGGGTGGGTGGGTGAGTGGAGATTCACTCGGGACAACACCATTATCCAAGAGGCTCGGTTCTATAGGCTCTCTCTGTAAATACTGAATAAAAACAGGACGGTAAGAAACATTCCCTTGTCTTGGTACGTTCATGGGCAACCAGCTGTGAGTTGCTGGCCTGACATCCCCTGTTCTTGGGTCTGAACATCTGACAGAACTTATCACTGGCACGTTGGCTTGGGCCCCAGGGATTTTTTTAGCCAGAACTCACAGGAGCTCAGTTCTAGCACCTCTCAGGTGGGCGCCATTGCCATTCTAAGAGGTGGCATTCATGGTGAGTTCTGGAACCTCTTTTCCAAGAAAAATAGCAGTGGGCTTGGCCATGGCTTGTTGTGTTAGGGTTCCTTTGCCTACCATCGCCAGTATCATGGTAGTGGCTCTACTTAGGCCAGAGATACAGTGGTGCCTCGCAAGACGAAATTAATTCGTTCCGCGAGTTTTGTCGCCTTGCGATTTTTTTCGTCTTGCGAAGCACGGTGTCGGGAAAGTTTTGGAAAAGCTTCAAAAATCACCAAAGTCTTTAAAAACCTCAAAAAAGGCTACCACACCGCGTTCTATGAGTTGCTCCTCGAAGTCAAGTCGCAACTGTATTAACGGTGTTAAGAGAAAGGAAACAAACTTGCAAGACGTTTCCGTCTTGCGAAGCAAGCCCATAGGGAAAATCGTCTTGCGAAGCAGCTCAAAAAACAAAAAACCCTTTCGTCTAGCGAGTTTTTCGTCTTGCGGGGCACCACTGTATTTAGGTTCAAATCTCTGTTCAGCCCTGAAGTTCGCTGTGTGACATTGGGCCCTTTGCTCTCCCTCAGCCCACCCTGTTTCACAGGGCCGCTGTGGAATTTAAATCAAGTGTGTTTGCCACCATGACATTGAAGGGCATGGAGATTGATTGGTTGATAGGGAGATAAATAAATAAATGACATTTCTCCTTCACAGTCTGGAGATACTGCAGATATTTCGCCACGATTGCCACTTGTTCTAGAAGCCATTGTGTGCAGGGAAAACGCCACATGTGAGGTGACTTGCGGCACAGGAAGGATACCTACAAGGGGTTATGTGTTGCCGTCTACGAATACCTGACTGAAAAGAAAAATAGAAATCTGTGGGGCCAAAGAGGTACAGGCAGTGTTCAATGCTGCTGAAAAGAGCAGGTTTTTCGATCTATGGCGCTCAAAGGGCTTATCCCTTTGTATTTACGAGGTGTATTGAGCTGGTGTGAGCAAGAGAGTTTAAAAGTTAATTAAAATGTTTACAGTTCTCACAATGGCGAGCAGTGAACAACAAAAAAAAAGAGGCGAGCTGCACTTTATAAAAGGGGTGCCCTTGATACAGCACATTAATTTGTTATAAAGCATGAAATAAGACAATTTAAGGGAAATTAGAATTAATATGAAACATTTGTCTCCAGCCTTGGTTAAACGGTAACACGGAACGGCCTAACCCGATAGTCAAGGAATACAGTGTCGGGAGATAAGCTGAAATTAAACCATGTAATCCCCCTTTTGAAGAGAGCAGTTTGATGCAAAATATCTTTACATGTCTTCATAATGGAAAGCAGATAAGGGAAGCGATAGGAGGCTTGCGGTAAATAGAACGTCACAGCACAAAAGCACATTGCTCCTCGCAAATCCTTCCTGCCGTTCTCTCTGCTCTCCTCCTCCTCCCCGTCAGTGATTATATTGTAAGCATACTTAGAAACCCAGGACACAGTTACCAATGCCAGGTTTGCTCCAGAGTTGTGTCCTCCACCCCATGGTGAAGCTCCCACTGACTCCAGTAGGTTCCTGTTTATTTCACCGTCTTGCAGCCATATGAAAAGCTCTCAGTTCCTTGGGCTCCATTGTGCATTTTTCATATATCGAAACTCTGAAGTCAGAGGGGGCGGAGGAAAGAGATTTTTGTTTGCTCAGGTTGCTGATGGGTGCTCCAGCCCTCAGCAAAGATCCATGCGAGTAAGTAAGGTGAACAACCTGCGCCCGGGTTGCGTGGCGAGTTCCCGCCTCCCCCCAAGGAAATAAAGACACAGGACACAAGAATTCTGGTTAATGGGTCAAATTAGGCCACAGCTTTATGGATTACAGGAATTGAGCGGTATTGGCTTAGGCATTGGTCCTAACAACTAACCGGCTTGAGGGCCGGTAAGGGTTAACCACCAGTGGGAGGAGTCCTGCTGAGGCACGTCAACTAGGACCTCCCCCCGGGGTCACTGCGTGGGGGCGTGCTGTGGGCCCACACTTCCTTAGGCTTAGGACAAGGCCACGCCCCCCGGAATCTGCATAACAGTAGATCGTACCCCCACCAATGCCTAACCGCCAATACCGAGGAGTTGTGACGGTTTGCTACGAGGTAGGCGGAAACCAACTGGCTGGTGCCAATCTGCCATTTTGAAAAATTCCTATCAGGCTCCTTGACGGCGACCAACCAAAGTTCATAGCAACGTCAGAAAACCTACCTAAAGGGTGGGAAGGGAGGGAAAGAGGGGGAGCCTTGGCTGCGGCAGACCTAAGTAGGCGAGGCCACGCCCCCGGAGCCAGCCGATTGGCTGGCCCGGGGTATGACGTGGCCAAGGATTCCCTCTGCTATCGCGTGGGCTGGAGCCAGCCCCCGTGAGTGTGGGGAAGGGGCGTGAAGCCCGCAAGCCCACCTCCTCCTTATCTCGGAAGTCACTTTGTACTGTGCAAAGCATATGTAGTTCCTGGAACTGTGCAAACGTTTTCACAAGACTCGCATCTGCTGTCACCCACTGACAAAGAATTCCGTGAAACTCAAAAGGCGACATGTTCCTTCAGCAGAAACTAGCCCAATATAATTGCATTCCCTAACTTGTATATTTCATCTTCTGCGATCACATTTCAGCAGTTATCTCCAACGCGCACAGGTTAATGTGGTTAACTGTACTAAATAAACCCAGACTTGGGAGAATGAAAGTGATTCAACAGTATCTTTTGTTCTTTTTGTGTCTGAAGTGCATAGCTGATAATATCAGCAGTCTGATCAACACTTGAACGTTGAGGTAGATAGTGTGATAGGAATTTTATGGTCTTAGATACATGGTAATGTTCATAAGTGTACCAGCCAAGCACGTACATAGATCAGCACAGGAAGACCAACCTGGAACCATTTTGATTCCTAAACTGAGTAAATGTTTTCACTATAAGGTCAAAGTGGGAAACCTCCCCATTGTCTCTTTCCTCACAAATCCTGTCTTAAGGGCACATTTAAGATATGAATAGGGTGTGAGCCTGTGACATGCCCCAGGAACTAAGTATTTATCATTACAAAAGACTGGCCAGGCTACCCAGGCAATCCAATCAAGTAACCTGCCAGACAGGAGACAAACAACGACAGGAGAAAAACAACATTGAAATTTCTGTTTTAAGACCACCTTTTCTGTGATGTAGGTATGAGGTATCTGAGGCGTAGTCTTGATCTACAGGGTGGCAATTTCAAAAGTCTTTATAAGGCCTTGCGCGCCATTTTTCTGGGTTCCTCCTCTCTCCTGCGTGTGAGGGGAGCACCCTGTTGCAACAGATCAACAAAGATCAAGCTTACTAGCTTTGCTTCTCAATATTCTCCGGTTGGCCTCTGTTATTCTCTCCTACCAATAGGCAACCTATGTAAGGACTCTATATGGGCTCCTGTATACCCCATAAGGGAAAAGGGCAATTTTTGTTTACAACAATAGAGGATTGGTACATGAGGATAGCTTAGTGGGTAAAGCATGATACTCTTAATCTTGGGGTTGTGGGTTTGAACCCCACGTGGGTCAAAAGATTCCTGCATTGCGGGGGGCTGGACTAGAATCAGCAGTTCTCAACCTGTGGGCCCCCAGATGTTGTTGGACTACAACTCCCATCATCCCTGAGCTCTGGCCTTGCTAGCTAGGGGTGATGGGAGTTGTAGTTCAACAACATCTGGGGACCCACAGGTTGAGAAAGGCTGGACTAGATGATCCTTGGGATAACTGCCCACTCTTCAGTTCTATGATTCTACAAATTTGGTTTTTTTGTTTTGTTTTTGGAAGGATGATTCTAGAGAGGACACCATTTTCCTGCCTTCAACAATGACATCTGTATGCCATTAAAATGTTGAGCTGAGAGAGTTTAATTGTATTGCTCTCTCTTTTTTGCAAGCGATATTTTGTTGGTCTCGAGGAAAAGAACGACAGTTAAACAATGAACATATGTAGAGTATGCGTTTCCAAGGACAGAAAACCAAGAGACCACAGACCTTTTGCAGCTTCAGTCCTACTAGAATTCACTATGCCCCTTCAGAAAGTGAGAGCCAGCGTGGTGTAGTGGTTAAGAGCGGTGGACTCATAATCTGGTGAACCGGGTTCGATTCCCCACTCCTCCACATGCAGCTGCTGGGTGACCTTGGGCTAGTCACACCTCTCTGAAGTCTCTCAGCCCCACTCACCTCACAGAGTGTTTGTTGTGGGGGAGGAAGGGAAAGGAGAATGTCAGCCGCTTTGAGACTCCTTCGGGTAGTGATAAAGCAGGATATCAAATCCAAACTCTTCTTCTTCTTCGTCGTCATCAGAAACTACAAGAACAGGCTGTGGCAAGTTCTTGTTCACAGAACTTGGAAGAGGAAGCTAGACTTTATCAAAATGACCACATTCCAACATGCCTCTGGTCACCCTGCTGTGTCGTGTTAGGCAAAGAAAGAACAACCGTCCATTTGTCATTGCAGTATGACCAGTGCGCCAGATTTCCAATGCAGTGCAATTTTCACACAGTTTAATTTTATGTGCACAAATACACAAAAAGGTAAAGAACCCCCGGACAGTTAAGTCCAGTCAAAGGCAGCTATGGGGTTGCAGCGCTCATCTTGCTTTCAGGCCGAGGGAGCCAGCGTTTGTCCACAAACAGCTTTCCCGGTCATGTGGCCAGCATGACTTAACCACTTCTGGCGCAACAGGACACCATGACGGAAGCCAGAGCACACGGAAACGCCGTTTACCTTCCCGCTGGAACGGTACCTATTTATCTACTTGCACTGGTGTGCTTTCGAACTGCTAGGTTGGCAGGAGCTGGGACAGAGGAATGGGAGCTCACCCCATCACAGGGATTTGAACTGCCGACCTTCTGATCGGCAAGCCCAAGAGGCTCAGTGGTTTAGACCACAGTGCCACCCGCGTCCTGTGCCAAATACATAAGGCTGGTGTTGCTGAGGTAGTCGCTATCGCCCTCTGTTGAGGACGCCATTTTCAGGCTGTGTCTGACAGAACATCTGTGAGGAAATGGAGAAACCGAGAAGGAGCACAGTTTGACTTCTAGGACCCAGCTGGAAGCCACTAGGTTCATCAGTCTCTCAATTTCAATGTTCACCAGGTGTATGAAAGGAATATCATTACTTTGTGCCAGTTTCTGCAGTTGTGAGATGACAAAAAGAAAAAACAAAACCCGTTACAGCCAGACTGGTGGCTCTTTCGCCCAAGGAGACAGCATGACAGTACCTCCAGGAGAAAATTGGCCGACCAATGAGAATTGTACTATTGACCAATCCACCTCCCTGTACCATTAAAACTACCTAAAGCGAGTTACTAAGCTACATTTGCTGTATCAGAAGGGACAGGAACTTCTGTTGCAGAAAAAATGGCCTTTCCGAAATCCCCACATACACATAACTTCATTGGTTCTCACTGGTGCCTGGCAGATGCTGAAAACTGCAAAAATAATCAGCTGAGCTCTTCATGTCTCTGTCAAGAAAAGCTCTTTTAGCAGTGGTAAATTCTGTTTTTCAGAACTGGCAGCATGTCCACGGTCCCGTGTATGTCTACTCAGAAGTAACTCAATGGGACTTAGGGCTCATCCAGACTTCTTTTTGTGACACACTTCTAGACATAGGTCTGCTTTTTAAATCTCTGTGTCCGAGCTGGTTTCCTTTTCCTTTTGCCCCGGTGCTTTCCTTGCAAAAACAAAACAAAAACGCTCTTTACTGCTGATTCAGTGCAAACAGCAATCTGCAAAAAAGCCAAATCACTGTTGTTCTTCTTGGGAATCCTAGGTAATAAAGCTGTTTGTGTGTCTGAGAGAGAGTGTGTACGCCTGAGACAGCTTCTGCGGCAAACCTCAAGGCTAAGGAAGAGGATGATTTTGAACCCGGATTTAGGATCTGCTATGAATTGTTTTTCTGTGTGTGGGGAAGGGGGTTCATCCCTGCCGGGCTGTTTTAAACTTTCGTTAAGTGATTTCCCCCCTGGACGATACACTGCTTGTTGAGTATTTTCTGCATGTTGTAGATGATGGTCAGCCTCAGTCACCGCACTAAGGTGCAATAGTGTTTCCCAACCACTACTCTGGTGGGTTACGTCCAGTGAGCTGCTCTGTTTTATTCTGTGTTCCATAATTTTGTAACTAAGCACTTGTGCATTCGCCATTTGCTTATTTCGTCCTCCCTCCTGATGCATTTTCCTTTTGTGTCATATATTTTCTGATTGTGAACTGTGTGTGTGTGTGTGTGTGTGTGTGTGTGTGTAAGTGATCTATATGGCCATTCTGAGAGCAGAAGAGTGGGATATAAAAGCATTTAAGTAAATAATCTTTCAGTAAATTTAAATATTATGATTACTAGCCAGCCAGTCAGCATTGAGATACGTATTTTTATTTGTGACTGTGCATGTATATTTCATGCAGTAACAGAGCTGAGGAATTATTCTGAGTTATGTTTTAAGATCAAACCTATCCATTCTGAAGGAAATCAGCCCTGAGTGCTCACTGGAAGGACAGATCCTGAAGCTGAGGCTCCAATACTTTGGCCACATCATGAGAAGAGAAGACTCCCTGGAAAAGACCCTGATGTTGGGAAAGATGGAGGGTACAAGGAGAAGGGGACGACAGAGGACGAGATGGCTGGACAGTGTTCTCGAAGCTACCAGCATGAGTTTGACCAAACTGCAGGAGGCAGTAGAAGACAGGAGTGCCTGGCGTGCTCTGGTCCAGGGGGTCACGAAGAGTCGGACACGACTAAACGACTAAACAACAACAACAAAGTTTTATTTCCTAGGTCTTGCCCGTAACATCTCAGTAGCAACAGGTAGCACAACAGACAAGGCTTAGCAATATTTGGAAAAGGAGATTCCTCCTTTTGGCCATTTCAAACAGCTTTTTTATTCAGGTTTTCCACATTTACCTATTTTTACGGGTCTCCTTTTCTGCTCTTTCAGATGTGGCGGCCATATACTGCCTTTTCAACCACGTTGGCCAGTTTCTCTACCCCTGTTAAGATTTTCATTTCCTGGGTTGGCCTGGTCAACGCGCCCCCTTATCCATTCCAAAGAGTGACTCACTGCCTCCCTTCCTCCAGGAGCCTGTCATTCTTAGTGGGCCTTTCATACTTCAGGGCAACATAATAAAGCTAACAGCTATCTAGTGCCCTTTCATTTCCCCTTCCTGTTGCTTATAATTGGTCTGTGAATAATACGCAGCCAACACAGGAGTGGTAGCTGTGGGCTGAGTCTAATCAGTGCCCCTGCGCGTTATTCTATCTGGCTAGCCAGAGCCTAATATTAATTTGGGTAATGTTTTTCCCCCTTTGCTATCTAATTACAGGCATTTATTCAAAGCCAGCCAGAATGATGTGGGGTGGGGGAAAAGAAAGAAATCAAGTGTAATGTGCTGGCTATGCCCCCTGCCAAATTAAGTGTGCGGACCCTTTTAAAAGGTGATTCCATTTAGGCACTCTTTATTAGCGGAGATATTCTGCAAACTCGAATCAAGCCCCGAGTGCAGGGGCACCGCTGAGTTTGCTCCCACTGTTGGATCAATGGGCTGGCAGGGTTCCTCTGCCAAGCAGCTTAGAGCGTCCTTGGGCTTCTCAGCAGGGGACCCACTCAGTGCCGAATCTGAAGACAAAATAGGATTCAAGTGCAGGGGACGTGCTTTAAGCTTCTTCGCTTTTAACAGGATGCCATTTCAGATAGTGATGGAAGAGAGAAAATAGATGTTGTTGCTGACCTTCCAAGTATCCCTATTTACCAGGGACTGACCTGGATTTACAGAAGCCATCCCAGTTTCCGACTGTCCCCCTTTTCCTTAGGACGTCCCTATTTTCACAGAGAAACGTTGGGAGGTATGGCGTTACGCCACCCCAGAGCCAAAGAGATAAGTAACTGTACGACTTTTAGAAGACATTGGAAGGCAGACCTGTATAAGGAAGTGGTTTTTTAAATTGTTCAATGTTTTGTTATGTTTTCATATGTTGGAAGCTGTCCAGAGGGGTAATAATAATAATAATAATAATAATAATAATAATAATAATAATAGTAAAACAACAATGGAATAAAAGGTAAAGGGACCCCTGACCATTAGGTCCAGTTGTGACCGACTATGGGGTTGTGGCGCTCATCTCTCTTTATTGGCCAAAGGAGCCGGTGTACAGCTTCCGGGTCATGTGGCCCACATGACTAAGCCGCTTCTGGCGAACCAGAGCAGCGCACGGAAACGCCGTTTACCTTCCCGCCGGAGCGGTACCTATTTATCTACTATTTATCAAAGTACGACATGCTTTTGAACTGCTAGGTTGGCAGGAGCAGGGACCGAGGAACGGGAGCTCACCCTGTTGCGGGGATTCGAACCACTGACCTTCTGATCGGCAAGTCCTAGGCACTGTGGTTTAATCCACAGTGCTACCCGCGTCGTCGCTATTTTCATCGGAGAAATGTTGGAGGATATGTTGTTGGTTCCCCTTTTGTATTTAATAGCTGAAAATGAGAGGTGCCAGGTGATCCTGTCTCTCTCTCTCTGTGCGTGCGTGCGCACACACACACACACACACACACACACACACCCCACACACACTTAAACAGAAAAGGTGAAGGGATCAGAGCTAATCAGATTAGAGATGTTGACACACCATTTCTCCAGGTTCTGTTAAATAATATGCAAAAGCCCTCGGTGATCCATCTCTCCCTTTCAATTAACAGCAATAAAGTCCTCATAAAATATTCTAAACAATGCTGGACGTTTCTTCTGGCTTTACATTATTTATGGAGTGCACTGATTATACTTGTCCTTAAAGCAACCTCGGAAAGTGTGCCTCCCCTTCACCGTGGGGAACACAAAGTTGACGAGTCCTCGTGGAGTTAGGGGAACATTCTGTTAGCAGGCTTGTCTGATGCCGTCGCATCACACACACAGAGCGCCCTTTAGAGGTGGAAACCTGTCATGACCACTGGTGTGCGCACATGGTGTGTAAATCTTGTGTTTCCTGAGGTTTTTGCCTTTTTAAGAGAGACGCTTAGAGGCTGGGTGCTGAAGCAAAACGTTGTTGTTGTTGTTTAGTCGTTTCCGACTCTTCGTGACCCCATGGACCAGAGCACGCCAGGCACTTCTGTCTTCCACTGCCTCCTGCAGTTTGGTCCAACTCATGCCGGTAGCCTCGAAAACACTATACAACCATCTCGTTCTCTCGTCCCCAACATAAGGGTCTTTTCCAGGGAGTCTTCTCTTCTCATGAGGTGGCCAACGTCTTGGAGCCTCAGCTTCAGGATCTGTCCTTCCAGTGAGCACTCAGGGCTGATTTTCTTCAGAATGGATAGGTTTGATCTTCTTGCAGTCCATGGGACTCTCAAGAGTCTCCTCCAGCACCATAATTCAAAGCATCAATTCTTCAGCGATCAGCCTTCTTTACGGTCCAGCTCTCACTTCCATACATTACTACTGGGAAAACCATAGCTTTTACTATATGGACCTTTGTGGGCAAGGTGATGTCTCTACTTTTTAAGATGCTGTCTAGGTTTGTCATTGTTTTTCTCCCAAGAAGCGGGCGTCTTTTAATTTCGTGGCTGCTGTCACCATCTGCAGTATCCTTTACCTTCTCCTTACTGGGTTGTGATTCTTCACTTTGGACATAAATAAGCCTCTTTGGAATGTTGGCATCATATCAGATCATGTCTTGTGATGCTCTGTGCAAAGCTATTCCACCCAGTGCATTTGCTTTTTATGTCAGTTTCCACCGTGCTCCCATTCCTAGGCCTTGGGCAGATTTCAGTTCAGTGACACACCCTCAAGGAATTGGGCATAAACCAAGAGGAGCGGGGACAGAGGGCAAAGTTCTGTTAAGAATTCATGCCACAAAGCTCACCGAAAGTCCAGAGGTAGCAATGTTATCAATTTACGACGGGGTGGAAGGTTCGCCGGCTATGAAGGACTTGCTCACAAATTTATTGGCAGCTGCACGAGTTATTAGCTAGGAAGTGGAAGGGGCAAGGTGAATATAAGAATGGAAGAATGGTATAAAGAGGTGTGGGATATAGCTATTAATGAAAAATTAATATGTGCTATTAAGGTAAGACGAAATGATTCTGAGGAGATACGGAAGGTGTTTGTAGAAATTGTAAAACGGAAAGGGGTCAAACCATCGCAAGAGGTGTTGAAATTTTGGGAGGTTGGATAGTTACAATGGATTGGTCTTGGGGTGCACATTTTATTCTTATTTCTTTATTCTTATCAAAAATAAAATAAAATAAAAAGAATTCATGCCACGGGCCAAACGTGTCAGTTCATTGTGAGGTATGTGAAAGATCGCTGCAAACACTTGTATGAAATGCACTGTGGTTGGATTGTGCCGCAAAGCATTTAAGCCAGGGGTCAGCAACCTGTGGCCCATGGGCCGGGTGCGGACCACGAAGACCATTCATCGGTCCACAAGCCGCTCCCAAACCAAGCTGCCTGCTTGGCGAGTCCCCCGTATTCAGATACTGGAAATAGCGTCTGCGCATGCCCAGACACCGAAAATCGCTTCTGCGCAGGCGTGATTTTTGGCATCTGGGCATGTGCAGAAGTGATTTCCGGCGCCGTGGACATGCACAGACATGATTTCCGGCATCACGCTGCGCCAGCCCGCAGCCCACGGACAATCTCTGTGGGAGTGATCCGGCCCATGACCGGTAAGCCTTGCCGACCCCTGATTTAAGCACACTCTCCCTACTGAAAATACAGAACTGCTTTGCGTTGTAAAGAATTTCTGCTTGCCCTATGCAATCTTTTGCCTAGTGGCAGAGCTCCACCAGGGCTGGGAATGCAGGCCCTGTAGTAAAATGAGCGGCCCGGGAGTCGATAAGTGAGTGCGTGGGTGTACACTGAAAAGAAAGAGCTGGTGGTTTTACTATTAGCCTTCTGGGATGAACTTATTAGATGACTTTAATTAGTAATTATGTTATGGGCAATTGTAGCACTTTTGGAAATTAACCTTCAGCAGGGCTCCAGAGAAAGGTCAGCAGAGAGATGAACTTGGCAGGTTCCTTCCTCTCCACCATCAGGGAGCTACTCTGTGTCATGTAATGCTGGCTGCCTTCCATTTGGCTTGGGGAATTCAATGGCACTAAAGGGTTTCGGAATGACACTTCCTGTATTTTTCATGAAAATATCTGTCTTCTTACTCTCACACCGCCCCCTGCCCCCTGCACGCTTCCTCTTTTCCTGTGCTAGGATTGATGCTTTCCCCAAATAATACCCTTGCAAAAAAATACAGGATTTGGAGTGGTGTGATGCGAAAAATACACCTCACCTGTTTCCATGCTCAGTGAGTCATGGAAACACCCATTTTATGAACTGAACAAAAGCAGCCGGAAGGTTTGGGGCTGTTTTTCGGAGAAAGATGCCTCAGAACAGGAAAGATGAGAGGATAAGCTTCGGACACCTCTTGTTGGCAAACACAATCGGTTTCTCCCTTTGTAAGCCCATTTGCAGAAACTGGTTTTAGCGTACTAGTAGGGAGACTCTCTGAGGTCACACGACCGGATTGTTTACCATTAAAAGGAAAGATAACGCACATGCCCTTTCCCAGCCAAGGCAACACAGAAGATTGTCAATGCTGACTGTGCCGTATTTGAGTCCAATCGGATGTCAACTTCGTTTCTTCAGCTGCTGTTATATTCTGCAAGGAAGTGACTTCACCCAAAGTGATTTTATGAGCATTCTGGATTGTTGGCAGTTCCCCTTGAGTGGGAAATGACGGACATGTTTTTGTTGTTGAAATGGTGTGATGCGTAGAAATTAATCACTGAGTTGAGAGGGGGCGAAATGAAGACTCATGTATTCCCAACTTCCTGGCCTTCCAAATGCCTGCTTAGTTCTTGACAAGATGCCTGTCCAGCTTTTTCTCCCATTTCTCTATGCCCTTGGCCCAATTTATGGAGCGCATGGCAGCCTGGTTAGAGTGTCCACCATGCCTGCAAATTTCATCCATTCTTACAAACAACAAACACAAACCGTAGGCAACTCTTTTTAGACAATATTTTTTTAAAAAATAACTTTTTATTCAAATTTAAAACAAAAGATATTATCCAGAAACATATCATCCTTATTCCCCCCCATTTTTCCTCCCTCCCCTCCCTCCCCCCACAGAACCCACCCCCAACTTCCCTCAGTTCCAGTCTTTGATTTCTCTAGAAATGCTGTTTTCTGCATGTTACACAGTTGTATAGATCCTCAAACTATTTAGCTGATTATTATCAATACAAATTTTGTGAATGTTTATTCAAAACCAGCCAAGGAGTCCAGTTCACTTTGTTGTGTCTTCAAATACTTTGTAAAGGGTTCCCATTCATCTTTAAAGTCACAGTTATCCTTGTCCCGTAGCTTGTAGTCAGTTTTGCCAGTTCTGCATAATCCATCAATTTTTCTTGCCATGATTCTTTAGTTGGGGTTTCTTCAGTCTTCCATCCTTGTGCTATTAAAACTCTCACACCCGTTGTCGCATACATGAAGATGTTTTTCAGCTTTTTTGGCAGATCTTTCCCTACAATCCCTAATAAAAATGCTTCAGGTTTTTAAACAAATGTTAAATGGAACATTTTCTTCAATTTGTTGTATATCATTTCCCAAAAATTTTTAATTACCTTGCAATCCCACCACATATGATAAAATGTCCCTTTCTTTTCCTTACACTTCCAACATATATTTGAACAATATTTTTAAAAGGTACTGAACAATTGCACCTCCATCCCTGAACCTGCAGTGGTGCCTCGCAAGACGAAAAGAATCCTTTCCGCGAGTCTCTTCGTCTTGCGGGTTTTTTCGTCTTGCGAAGCAAGCCCATTAGCGGTTTAGCGGATTAGCGCTACAGTATTAGCAGCTTAGCGGGCTTAGCGGATCAGCTGATAAGCGGCTTAGCGATCAGCTGTTAAGCGGCTTAGCCATCAGCTGATAAGCGGTTTAGCGGCTTGGGAAAAAGGGGGGGGGGAGGAAAAAAACCCCGCAGGAACTCGCAAGACATTTTCGTCTTGCGAAGCAAGCACATAGGAAATTCGTTTTGCGAAGCACCTCCAAAACGGAAAACCCTTTCGTCTAGCGGGTTTTCCGTCTTGCGAGGCATTCGTCTTGCGGGGCACCACTGTATTTGCCTGTGATCTGGGAAGCTTGACCACTCAACCTGAATGGGGTTTGGCTTTAGACACTGAGCCCAATTGGATATCCTTTGAAGAGCTTCAGGCTGAAGTGGGCTGTTTTCCAGGGCACCAAATGGAGCTCAGGACTGGATCCTGTTTGGTACACACTGCTAGAATATAGGAGACAGGTTTAAGGCCCCCCACAGCCATGAGGCTTGCATGAGTCATTAATCTCTCTGGCAAACCTATTTGTGTTGCTAAAATACTGTTCTTAGCTCTTTAGAGGGAAAGCCTGGTGTGAATAAATACAAATTAATCCAAAATAAAAAGAAGAAATGCCGATGAAATTCTCATATCAGATGATCTTGCAGAACAAACAGACCGCGGGAGATAATACAGAAAACGAATCACTGCGTCGTAACTAGAATCCCCCTCCTTTTCTGACCACTGATTTAATTGTCTAATGGAATAGGCCCTTAAAAAAACAAAAAACCCTCAATGCCTTGTATCAGAAACGTTTCCACACATAATGCGTGTGATATTTTCGATTTCATTCAGCCCACATGCACATTTCCTACTCCTAAAAGGTGTTCTGTTTCATTGACTCACAATTACAGCAGTTTTCACCTGACTAAAACATAAATGTGCCATTGTTTTGCTCAGCTTAAAATGCAAAACACTTGTTAAGTAACATTCCGCAGCAAAAGGCATATTAAAAGTGGAGCGGGACACGATGGCTTTACAACGGCAAGCACATTGTTCTGAATGCTGATATGCAAGGGCTGCCTTCTTCATTTCCATCTTCGGTTTTTACGTGTTCTTCTCCAAGTAAGAGAGGTCCCTAACCTCCATAAGCAGACTTTTCTGTTTTTGAACTGTGCCTAATGAGGTTTTCCTAACATTTACTCTAATCTATCTGCTTGTAATGCAAACCCATTCTTCCTTGTGCTGCCCCCAGCATGATTTATCCATCAGGTTTATACAGCCACCCATCAATAAATATTCCATGGAAGGCTTAAAAGCAAAAACACACACACAAAAAACAGTGTTAAGAATGCAACGGATAATGGACCAGGAGGAATGGAAGGAGGGTTTGAGATTCACAGGATGCATGGCTTTAAAGGAAAACTTGCTAAAAATGATGTATAGATGGCATTTGACGCCAGTAAAATTAGCTAAAATGTATAGGAAAAAAGAAAGAAAGTGTTGGAAATGCAAAAAGGCAGATGGGGACTATTTCCATATGTGGCGGACCTGTGATAAGGTAAAAAAAATTTGGGAATCAATTTATAATGAACTCAAAAAAATATTTAGATATACTTTCCCCAAAAGACCGGAAGCATGTCTATTAGGCTTAATAGGAACAGAAATTAAAATAGAAGATCAAAATTTGTTCATGTATGCTACAGCTGCCGCGAGGACCCTTCTGGCCCAAAGATGGAAAGTACAAGATATACCAACTATACAGGAGTGGCAGGCGAAGTTGACAGAATATGCAGAACTTGCCAAACTGTCAGGGAGGATCCGGGACCAGGGAAATCAAAGATACCAAAATAACTGGAGTAAATTTATTGAATATTTAAAGAAGAATTGTAAAGAGGTCAAGACACTAGCAGGATTGACATAATACCTCCAATATATAATAGTACTAATATGAGAATGATGTGTGTGATGGAAAGAGGATAAATATACCAGTTGTGGGGAGGGAGGGGGGTCGTGACTCGGCAGAGTCAAAGGGAATGTATGGTGCTATTACAATTTGTTGGAAAAGAATATGTAAGGAAAACAATAAAAATTCACTTGGGGGGAAAAAAAAGAATGCAACGGATAATAATAATAAATACCAAAGAAGAACAAATAAACACCAAAGAACAAAATACAGGAAAACACTTTTTCTTGTTGCAAGAGATGCAGCATAAAACCGCTCAGATGAAAAACACAATTAAAGACCACGGAAGTGATAGGCAAGACATGATGATAACAGAATGCAATTCAGCTGACTCACCCTTAACAGTAGGGTCACAGCTGTGGTCCTACAAGAAATAAATAAATGCAATGTTGTATATTTCTCTTTTCCTTTCCCCGAGTCTTTTTCCGTCCCTCGCACAGCCACGAACGTGGCATTTTCCAACTGAGCCTCCCTGCCCGACACTCATTCTCACTCCATCTGACCATTCCACCATTCAAGCTCCTTTCTCTTCTCTCGTGACAGGCTTGTACTGAGCACATGTGTTTGGGGACACTCTTGCATGCCCAGGTGCGGTGAGCACCCACCACCTTCCAAAAGACCACTCGTGACCAGGGGCATATGAAGGGGGGCAGAGGGGGCGGGCCGCCCCGGGCACCGCCCTGGTGGGGTTCGACAAGATGGCCCGCTGCCTCTCCCCAGCTGTAGAGTGGTGGAGGGTGCGCAAGCAGTCAGTGTGGGCGCTGCTCACGTTGCGTCTGCATGCTGACTGTATAGGCTGCAGTGCATGCACAGTCTGTATGGGCTGCCGCTCGCGCACGGTGTCCGTACGGATGGCTGCTTGCATGTGGCATCCATACCGGCTGCCACACACGTGCAATCCGTACG